AAAAAAAAAACAAACAAACAAAATATAGCCGTTATTGAGATCCACACAAACGATAGAAAATTTGAATTTAAATGTTGATGTGATGGATAACGGACATATTTTTCATTTTAATGAGAAAATAAGGTGGACCGAACAGGGATATAATTATTATATGCTTTGCCAAAAAAAAAAATTAAATTTGTTAAATATTTTATGGTTGATCAAACAAGTTTATCAAAAGATATAATGTGGTCCGCTTACTTTCTAGATCGAGGACCAATTATCCATTCAAGATTGATCTTTAACAACAAAGTTTGACAGTTCTCTCTCCTCTCCCTCTTTATTTTAGGTATTTCACTGCGAAATACAAAATAAAAATGAAATTTTCTTTTGTTAAGTGTTAAAAATACCGTAAAAATAATATAGGATCTAAACGATCATATTTGGTCAAATACCTAACGTAACAAACTCATATGTTTATTTCATTATGGTATTTCTGAACCTGGAGTGTGTTTTTACATCGAGAATAATATGCATATGAAGTGATGTCAAAAAAGCTTCTTACTTTCCAAGCAAATCATCCTATATGGCTACATCTATATATAAACCCCGGTTTATCAAGAATATATAGAAGAAAACATTTTGAATTGTTGATTAATCTTCGGAGCTATGACTTTTTTCTTCTCGGTTATGAGATACATTACAAATGTAGAATGAAGTTTAGGGTGTGTCTGTTGTGGCTTTTCTTCAGATTTTCATTCAAAATATAGCTGTTTTTTTCCAACAGTGGCCCCCACACCTCTCACCCATAGTCAATTGTTGCGGCTGTAGATATTGGCAACGGTTGAAATTGGCTCCAGACACAGCCTACTATTTTTTTAAAGAACCTGAGGTTACTTTTTATACATTTTGTAATCGGGAAATTTTACTAGTCCATGTACTATTCAAGAACAATTAGCTAATTTATTGAAATCTCAACCTTACCCTTTTAATCAATTAAATAAAAGGATAAAAACATATTTTCAATAAATAACTTTTAAACATTTAGATGAACGGAAATAATTCGTTGTGTATTTTGTTGTATAAACGTGAAAGGTTGAAAATTTAAATATTGAAAAATAGAAGAATTAAATATAACATTTTCACATATTGAAAAACTACGTAAACAGCTGACTAATTGCATAATAAAAAATAATAAAAACATTCTGAATACGAAACGACGCAATGGAGATTAGGTTGTTAAAGCCTTTTTTGGACTTTAGATTTAGATGTGAAACTTTATTATCTTTTTGTCACATTTGTTGGGTCCTATAATCTTCAACAAATCCTAACCTACTTTCCTAATAATTTCACCAAAAGAATCTCCTTTCTACTGTCCACTCGAACAATGCTGACACCCTCCCTGACAGCCCCCTCACAATGGGGGGGGGAGGGGGGTTATTTTTTTTTCTTTTTAATTCATATGGGTCCCACGTGGGTTCCACTAAAATGTGAGAGAATGTCAAATTTCTTCTGACAAAATGGTTTAATCCTGTCCACTCCTACTAATTTCATGTATAGTCCAATTACTACCTTAAAATTTCTTGTGAGTTTGGGAGTACCACGTCTGATATTTAGGTTATATTTTAGGACATTTTAGCTATATTGAATTATACATAACTAAATAAAAAAAAACATATATTTAATCGTGATCGTGCTTGAAAAGAACTTTTCAATCAACATTGTATTATAACAACACAAAATACTAAAGAATTTTATTATTATTTTTATTATTGTCTTCAATTCAATATCAATAACAGTATGTTTGACTTTATCATTAGACCGATTCAATTGGAAAAATTGAAAATCGAACCAAGAATCGTGGATAAACCGAGAAAAAAAAACTACTGGGTGAACCAAATCTAGTTTTCAAGTTCCATTATATATACAAGAAAAAGAAGAACAATAATTTTGCTATTTTTTTTATTTACTTTTTTTTTGTACGATAATTTGACTTTTAAATGTTTGCTAGTCAATTAATTCAACGAAAACTTTCGTGCATTCGCCTGTCACTAACCCACTCATCTCTTGTTACCGTTAATCAGTCGCCAAAAGTCCACTCCACAAATTCCTAAACTAGGAGAAAATCTAGTAACAAAATTGATTCCCTCATTTTACACTCATAATTTTTTATTTTTCAAAATTTATGGCTAAAAAACCCTTAAATCCTCATATGGGAAATTAATAATATTTACTTCTTTCAATAAACAAAATGCGCATTACTTTGTCCGCAAATGGTAATCGATAAGAACCTTTTTCTTGAATATTTAGCCAACTGAAACCTTTTTTGTCGAATTCGTCACTAGATTATATTAAATTTACTACTATTGCAAAAATCCGATAAACATCCGTAGTTAGCATAAAAAGAGATATCGAGAATAATACTCAATTCGTCGAGACGACAAAGCTTGTGTAGATTTCTAAAATATTTATCCAAAATATTTATTCGATGAGAAAGACAGAGAAATGGAAAAGGAAATAGCCAAATAGGAAAAAGGTCAATAGTATTTATATTTCACCATTTCTCACACACACACACACACATACCTTCCTTCTAAGTCATCCAAAGCACCCCCACTAAGAATTTGCACATATAATTGTCTCTATAGGTTCCTGGAGATGGAACCCCCACCGCAAATCTCCGAGATGTTCCAGAAATTTGCCCTAGCTGTCAAGGCCAAGCCCTACGAGCTCTTCGCCGAAGCCGACAATCAAGATTCCGCCTCCGCCGTTGATGCTGACGTCATCTCTTTGTTAGACTCTGCGGAGGAGTTCANATCTCTTTGTTGGACTCTGCGGAGGAGTTCATCCCCGACCAGAAAGTGGCGGTCATCAAGCCTGACAGGGATTATGGCCCGGACCCGGATGCCCACCTGAATAGGACCGTAATTTATTCACTCTTCGCCACCGTCTCTTCATTCGAAGCCTCGTATTTGCAGTTCCAAACGGCCCATGTTCCCCAAATTGACCAAAACGCCCTTGAACAAGCTGATAAATCACTCGTCTCAATTCTTCAGAAATTGACTGAAATGAAGAATATCTACAAGAATTTCAAGAAAAGGAGCTCGGATTTGCCCGTAGAATATGAGTTTCCTGCTGGGTCATTTTTGGAATTTCAGGTGCAGGAGAATCAGAGCAAGCTCAGGGCTCTGGAGACCATGGTAAATTCATTGCAATCCGAGATTGATGCTAAAGATGATGATGTCTTGGTTTTGAGGAAAAAATTCGACAAAATTCAGGGGTTTAACTTGAATTTATCAATACAACTGGATTTGAAAAAGAAAAAAATGGATGCTGGTACTGATGTTTTACTAACAATCCGAGTTTTTGAGGCTATGTTGAATGATTCAGTTAAATCTTTGCGATGTTTTACAAAGTTATTGATCGATTTGATGAGAAGAGCAGGGTGGGATTTGGAGAAAGCTGCCAATTCCGTTTATTCAGACATTGATTATGCGAAAAAAGGACATTTCCGGTACGTATTTTTGTCACATGTTTGCTTGGGAATGTTTAGGAATTTCGATGTGAATGATTTTGGATTAGGTGATAGTCAAGTAGCGTGTAATGGAAATGGTTCAATACATGTTGAAAATAGTACAATTCATAATGGTTATTTGAGAGAACTAATCGAACATGTTGCGAGTAATCCTATGGAAATCTTGAGTAAGAATCCAAAATGTGAGTTTTCACGGTTTTGTGAGAAGAAATACGAGGAATTGATTCACCCGAATATGGAGTCTTCGCTGTTCAATAACTTAGATAGGAAGGAAAAGGTGTTGGATTCATGGAAGTCATTGAGCGTATTTTATGAGTTATTTGTTAGAATGGCGAGCTCTATATGGTTGCTTCATACATTGGCCTATTCGTTTGATCCTGTGGTAGAGATATTTCAGGTCGAGAGAGGTGTAGATTTTTCAATGGTGTACATGGAAGATGTTTTGGGGAAATGTAGTTTTTTGGGAAAGACGAGGCCTCAGGTTGGGTTCACAGTCGTGCCGGGGTTTAAAGTTGGAAGGACTGTGATTCAATCACAGGTTTATCTCACTGGCTTAAAGTGTACGGAGTAGTGAGATCATTATGTCTTCCTGCTGGAAATGAAGTACTCTATGCATATGAAGTTATTGTGAGAGCTCATTTTCGGGTCGACTTGTTCGATAGGAGGACTCGAAGAAATTTGAGCAACAATGTTGTTGGTTGCTGGGCACTGCCATTTGGTACGCTTGCTTTTTGGCTCTCTTGCAAATATTTAGCCACAAGTTCTACTGGGTGTGTATAATTTCTTGTTTACATCATATAGTCAAGCCACATGTAATACTGCGTACAAAGCATGCCTTAAGCAGTTTGTTCATTAAGACCTTTACTTAGAAAAAGCGATGATAAAGAGAGTGCAAATGAAAAACAAAAAACATGTAAAGAACGAGAAATATTATTGCAATGAAAATTATTTCGTTTCAACAAATTATACCTGCAGAATTCCTTACGAAGACTTACAAAGCTTCTTTCTTTCTCAGTTAGTTATAGCAACAAATTTGATGTCTCTCTGCTTACTTTGAAAGCCAGTAGATAATAAGGAAAAGCGTACAAGCGGCAATAATTGCGGACAGGATGAGAGTATCTCTTGATCGTTTTCTACTGATTGAACCTGTGAGGATCCGGAAAGAAATACATTTAAAATCATTTTAACGAAGAAATCTAGTGGTAGATAAATCTTCGAAAATTTACCTATTAAACCGCGAATGACAGGAAATTTTTCACCAAGTAGTTTCACTTTTCCTTGAACATCCCCAAACAAGGCCCTTTGAGAGCCCAATGCACCTCTAGTTGCTTGAGCTTGACTAATCACATCATCAATCTGTATAGAAGTTAGGTAAAGGGATTAGAGGCATAAAAAAAACCAACTTGTAAGCTATTTGTATAAACAAAAAAAACACAACCACCACAATAAAAAGAACCACAAAAGGCAGTATTCAAGGGACGAAAATCCACAATGACAACACTGGACATGACAAGACAAACAAAATTTTAGCTCTTCCTTTCCCGTTTCTTAACATTGTCAAGTACGGAAAACTAAAATGGGGATAGAGTAATGGCTTTGTTTGTCAAAGGATTGCAGGCTTTTACTCTGCTCTACAAGAATACGGTGAAACAATGGAAACATACAAGATGAATGTACATGCATAATTATCCCCATCTGCATGCAAAATGGTACTGATTTGAATTCCTCCTCTTCCTCACATGTAAAATCCTTTTGCCTTAAATGCAATACATAATCCAAAAAATTGGCTTTTAAATTCAATAATCCTCCAAAGAAAAGTTGTCAACAAAAATAAATATCATCTAGGAAGTTGGGTGATTCCCGAAAAGTTGCGCACAGGAAGTGGTAATACTGGCTCATCTCTTTACACAATTCTAACAACCATCCATATGTAATGAAGCAGAAAACTTCAACAACCTAAATATCACAATTCACTAATTCAATAATAAACCTTCTTCAGGGGAAGAAATTTTAACATAAGATTTTGTTGTGGAACAAAATCATAAGAAAAATAATCACATAGTTAAGACTCACTTCCATGTAATAATGAACTATTACACCATGCAAAGTGAGTGCAATTGATTGAACATAATTTGGCATGTCATTGGAGGTAAATTTCACTCAGAACTTGCACAAAGATCCAGGGTTCTGGTGAACAAAATTATTTTAGTAAAGTTTTTACCGAGATATTGTGAACTTCACAACTTAGGATTTGAATGTTTGTTTGAATATTAACCCATCTTATGTTTGGCCAATGGACTCAACATACAGGTTTTAAAGTTTCAATTGCTTAAATAGCAGAAATTCTTAGAAACTGCAAGGTTATTTTAGTGCGATTGCCCTCAATGTTCAGTTGTTGGTGCATCATATGATAATAAATATTCTATTGAAAATGTAACAATGAGACAATTATTAAAGAGAATTGAAGTCTTACATGAGATATGCTTCCATGTATGGCAGCTCTCTCCCGCAGCAAATGCATTTTTGGGGACATATTTCCAGATGCCTGCATAGATGCAAAATATGACTTTACGAGACATTAGCAACAAATTTAACCACAATAACAGTTAGAAACTAAATTCTGACCTTGTACTCGCTGATATCATCTCTTACAGAACTTAGTAGTTCTGCATGTTCCATCATTGAGTTAATGTTTCCTTTTATGCGTCTATATTCCTAAGGAAGTGTCTGAAGTCAATTCCAGCATAATGAAGATAGAAAACGGATGAAATAATAAACCAATACAACAAGCAGTACAAGAAGGTTTGTTGTAAATCATAGAATAACGTGAACAAGGAATGTGCAGAAAAGCTTCACAGTGCCGTGTCAGTTCAAAAATCTACTATTCTAGTTTCTATTTTCTAAGGCTGCAATTCATTTTCTAACCCGGGAACTGAGGACTGTTGAGCAACCAAAGGAGGATGGAGCAACAAGAAGTTTTCTTATTACAAGTATGTGTGCACATAAGATATAGTGCTGTATGCTACTTTTATTTTTCATAAATTCTCTTTCATGAGCTAATAATCTGTGAAAATATTATTCAACCCTCAATCAGATCCAATAGATGGATACTTCTCTTTCATATCAATTTCAGAAATCAGAAAATCGCTTATCGACTAAGTTTGAGATGACAAAAGAGAGAAGTAGCATAAGTTGAAATCCGAATCAAGCTGGTTTAAGAAGCTGCTCAGTCAATTGAATTTATTTGTTTCTTACGTTTTCATCCCTATCACTATTCACTGGTGAACAAATTACAATCAGAAATTAACTAGCTAAATTACAACAAATGAGAGTAAGTAACCTGGTTAAACTCATGTAAAATGTCCCGGTGCCTTGAAAGTTTTTGAGAAACTGAAGTAGTAGGTGCAGCAGATGCAGCACATCGACTCATAGCATCATTTATATCCAGTAGCTTCTCAAGCAATGATTGAATCTCCATTTCCATGGATTTCCAGGATCTGCTGGACCCAACCATTGGTGAACCGGCATCCACGTTACCTAAATAACAGCTTAATCATTTAGAAAGACAAACTTCAAAGCTCACAGAAAAGCTCATACCTGTATGAACCGAGGATCTCTTAATTAAAGAAAAACGAGGCAACTTTATACCAAGTATTTACTACCGCATGGATGTTACTTGATAGGAATTCAAAAGGGCCAAGGCATAATGCAAATTAGTCAGGAAGTCTGGATGTGCTATATCTTACAAACTAGGAGCAATTACATTCTGTCCCCTGGAACTATTGCCTAGTTATGAACTCTCTCTCCATTTGCAATTGCTGCACTTAAACCCCTTGATTTATTGAGTATAGCCATAGTCCTCAACAGCGTCAATTCTTTATCATCTATCTAAATTGATAACAGGGTCGAGGGAGCATGATTGAGAGACCTCCTATTTGACACTATAACCTTCAAAGAATATGATAAAAAAAATTTAAAAGAGCAGAATTTCAGTGTTACTCGGTAATAACATGAGGGGGATAAAATTTTTATGCTTCAACAGCATATATGCTAAAATTTGCAATGTGGTCAATGATTGGACAGATGCCCTGTTGCTAATACCTTATGGTCTTGCCATGATGAAAATGTTACCACGTGTAAGAAGATCATCAAACTCAGTTTTCAAGCCTACTGAATAGTTGAGAAAGATATAGCTGGTTAAATTCAAGCATAATCCTTGAATCAGCATAATAAGAACACCTTCCCAGTCTATCCTAAGAAAAGCAAGCTTAGAGCTTCAAAGAAAGAGTACAAAAACTCCATACAATTTATGTGGATGACATAATGGCACATTTGTGAACCAAAAGGACACCGTATAAAAATATTTACATGGACTAGTAATAATAATCTGCTAGAAACCAATATTTTGAAAAGCGCGCAAGCATTGACAAACCAGTTGGTCCGATCTGGTTTTGTCATCGCTTGAAACATCTGTTAAGCTATATTCTGTGTATTTAAGATCGTGGGAACCCCACGTCCTAACTTGACAAGAACACACGTAGTATAGATAAAATAATTTAAAAGAGGATCCTAGTCTAATATTTTGGCTATACTACATCTTCCCTGACCAGGCAGTCAAGCCCTAGAAACTCGTCAGATTTTCAACGAAAAGAGCTTTTCGTTTTTCAATCTCAATTCACTTTTGGGTAGAAACATTTGAGGCATTAGTAAACTGTAACTGGCTGGCTTATATTGCTGCTAAATATGGCATATTAATGCTGATTTCCGCACATGTTAACCTCATTAGTAGCTTATAATGAATTTCTCCAAGGGGCATAATTTTTGAAGGGCAGTCATTATCTGAAACCAACAAAAGCACGGAAGTAGAAGTAATGTATGGTCAATTTCACCAAGTTTTTCCAAAGAATCACCAGCATAAGCTTCAACAGAAAAATTTACACCTGTCTGTTCAACGCTCCAATTCCACATCATTTGTCACACATTTCTCTTCACACCGTAGGGTCGAAAAAAGTACTTAAAACAGGAGAACTTAACTCAAAGCAAAATCAAAGTTTATATCATTTTACACTATATATTTCCATTAAAAATATATGACCATCCTATATAAGCGTAAAATCAGAAAACATTCGCCATTAAAAAAATAATAATAAATTATCAGAAAATTAACGATTTATGAAGTACCTCCTTGGGTGAAGCGAGCGCCAAGCTTAGCATAAGATGAGAGCTTCACGTCGAGATCGCCTTCGATCTTTCGGGCTTCTTTCCGGAGCTCCTCCCAACCCGACTCCTGTAACATGTCCATGTTCGGATCCCCCGACATTCGGATCCGACCCAATGTTGCGAATTTTAGTTGTTAATTATGCTATACTCCTCTTGTTCTGGTTCTTGGTTTGTGACCCGAATCCGACTGGTAATACGGTTGGAATTTACGGTTTGCCTTATGGGTCTGGTATCTGGATCCGATGTATGCCAATACTGTGATTTTAAGAGTAGAAGGAGAGGAAGTCAGTTGCAACACTTTTGGTTTATTACTCCATAAAACTTGCACTCCAAAACGAGGACATTGGAAATAAGTACTACAATTTTAATTACTATACACAAATAGATCCCTAATTTTTAGTTTCTCGCGCTTGAGCCATGGGAAGTTGTGGCTTATCTTGAGACGAGTCATGAATCGAGTTGATCTCATTTTTTTTTATTAGTCAATTCGTTTGGGCTCGTGGGTAGCTCTTTTCTCTCTTTTTTTGACTTCATTGATTTCATTAAAAACTTTGCTTATGCAAAATTTTATATAAAAATGTGAGTTGACTTGTGGTCGGCTCAGCTCAACTCATGAGGGTCACGAGCTGAAGGGTTGAGCCGAGCTAAGTTTAAGATTTGAATACAAATCGAGTTCAAGTGTTAAAAGGGCTGGAATTCCTACATTTTACTTCATAATTAAGATGTATGTACAAAATAGGTGGAGCTCAGGTTTATCATTAATGGATGAAATTCACAAATACGAATAAATTTTAAAATGAAAAAAGAAACAAAATAAATTCTCCTTTTCTTTTACACTTTTTGCGAGTCCTACTCTAGCACGCTTCCATAATCACCTAAGAAACCATCCTCAATTCAATTCGTTCGATTTGACCACTTCACCCCCTAGGTCCTTGGCCACTCCTCCAACTCTCTTATCGTCGAGGCCCTTTTTTCTCATTGTCTTCACATTTTTTAGTTTACTTGTATTTTCTTTTGAAACATTGTATTTTTTTAATTAAAAATAAAACTATAATTGTCTTTAAATAAAAATTTAACATTTTCTAAATATAAATAGACAAAAACCGATTAAAGACTATGCTACAAACTTGAAATGTTAAAAACTTAAATTTCAAAAAATTAAAGGCTAATGACTAACATAAACAAGAGTCGTATATTAGGAATCCCCTTTGCAATTTTCCTTCTAAGAATTCATTTGTCAATAATTATAAGGGAAGTCTACATAAATCCTACTTTTACTTATGCACATTTCAAAATTAAGGTCAGATGTTTTAAATTTCAAAAATCAGGTTTTTATTTAAATTTATTTATGAATTACTTAATTAATTATATGTTTTATTAATAAATATATAACGGTCACAGATCTATACAATTTGGTCACAATTCAAAAATTTCATAGGTCACAATTCATTCATCGGTCGCAACATAAAAATTTAAAGGTCACAATTATTTCATCGGTCACAAATCATAAATTTTTAAGTCACAATACTTAATTAGGTCACAATTTATCAATTTATTAGTCACAATTAATATTTTTTAGGTCAAAAATTAATAATTTTTAGGTCACAATTAATAATTTTTTGAGTCACAAGTATTTCTTAGTCACAATTTATTATTTTTGGTCACACACCACCAAATTTATTGGTCACAATTTGTGACCACCACCATCACATCACCACATTCGTCAACACCACCACCACACCTTCACCGCCACGACACCACCGTCAAAAAAACCACTGCACATCCACCTGACCACCTCCACCGCACCATAGCACCACCACGCAAAACTCACCCAACCACCTCCACCACTGCACCATACCGTCCCTCCACCACCGCGCTTGATCCATCACCAAAATCTGAAAACAAAACGCACGCAATCACCGCCCAAACAAGCACCACCCAAACACCACACCACCCACAGACCGCATCCACAACTGCACACACGACGCACGCAATCACCACAATCACCACCCAAACACCGGATCCACAACTGAAAACAAAGCCAAAAAACCCAAATCACAGCCCACATCCGCCGATCGCACGCACCCGCACATCGCCGCCCTGCACACACAATACCTCCACCCACACCTACCGGCACTCAAATCGACGCCCCACCACCTGCTGGCACTCAAATCGACGCTCCACCACCTGCCGGCACTCAAATCGACGCTGCGACGACTTCGCAGCAGTCGCGGCTCGAAGCTCGTCGTGGCCAGGAGAGGAAGAAGGCGAGAGAGAGTGAAACGAGAGAGGGGAAGAAGATCACCCTCGGCGGCGACGAGAGAGGAAGGAGAGAATGGATGCGGACGGTTTTGTGAGAGAGAGAGTGGGAGGATTTGGATTGGAATGATTAGGGTTTGGGGTTAATGTAGAATAAAAATAAAAATAAAAAATCTTTTATTTATTCCTAAAAACCTGATTAGTGAAAAATCAAAAGTAAATCAGGAATTAAGAAGTTAGAAATCTAATAACAGGGGAGGGTGTAATTTCTTCTAATTATAATTCAAATAGTGGGTTGGGTCAGCTCAGGAATTGGCAGAGCCCATGAACATTCATGCAGTACTTTCCTCTACCTAAAGTTCAGGTAAAATGATAAAAATAGCACTAAACGGAGCTTCAAATGGAATTGGAACTATTTTTGATTTAGGCTCGTTTTGTTCCTTTGTTGCTCTCTCTAGATTTTGTACCCTTATGCAAACATATTATCAAAATGGACCTAGAGGAAAACTCTTTTTCATCTTTAACCTTCAAGTTTCCTCTTCTATTCAATCAATGACGGGAATAATATTTCTATTTTAATTCCAAAAATAACCGCAAATTAGAGTGAGTATAGAGCCTAAATGGCTTGAGAAATGCCCCCGCTAACTTAGCCAATTAAAAGGAAAAATTTGATTTAGGCATTGTTTGGTATTAATTAAAATTAAAATTTTTATTTAATGCAAAGTCAACAATTAATTTTAATCACATAATTTATGGGTCCCACAACTTTTCAACCATACATTTTATCAACTTCTATCCAAATCTACTAAAAATCTGATTTTAATCACCACCAAACAATCGCTTATTTTCAAGGTCTAAAAATTTTGATTTAAGCACCGAAGCTTGTGCGGTGCTCAACTTCCTGACTCATACACCTTGCAAACCCAACAGAGTGCATGTTTGACAAACATTAATTATTTATAGTTTGATGCTGGATCATTTTCAACCACACGATCACATAATAAAATATTTTATACATATATCAAAAAAAATTTCCTACTTTTTAATCACACATTCCTAAAAATACTATTCAAAACTCATTTTTATTTTTTCCAAAATCAAGTTTTAACAATGTGAATGTATAAAATGTTGCCAATAAGGATCAATTGAAGTAGGAGCTGATATTTATTTGCTCAATATATTATGCTCTTCTTTGGTCTTTTTGAAAAAAAAAAATCGAATTTTCTGCAAATGTTGATAAAAATTGATAAAATATGTGATTTAAAAATTAAAAAAATTCGTGAGTTGCCATAAAATATGAATTTTGAAAAATAAAAATCAAATAGGAGCTATGTAATCAATGACGTTAGGGTAGTTGTAAAGTAACATCATAAATTATGCCCATTTAGTAATCATTTGACAGCGAAAAGATGTACTCTGTATAGACCCATTAATTTTTTTTTAAAAAAAATTCTCTTTCTTAATTATAACATTTTCTAAATAAAATAATATTACACAAAAATCTAAAAATTTTCATTACTTTGTAACTACATATTTTTCCATCAATCACTATTCCAAAATTTATTATATATCAAAAATTGGTGTCAAACATATGCATAGTAGAAGAGTTGAAATTTGTTGTCCAACTTTTACTATCCATTCAATCAATTATTGATATGTCATTTTAAATTAACATTTCGTCGATTTGGTGGGCTAGTCAAGAAGTTAATAAGAGTCCGTTTGATTACAAATGTGAAAAATTGGTGGAAATAAAATATTTTACGGGAAATTGAATTGCCTATAAATTGTTTTACTGGGAATTGTAATTAATTGTGTTTGATTTGTATAATTTTCCACCTGAAAAATGTTGAAAGTTTGGTATTCGTTTGACTTCATTTTTTATGAAAATTGTTCATTAAAGTGATAATTTTTCTACCATTGGGTCTAGAATCTGTTCCAATTATAAAAAAAATTAAAAAAAAAAATTATCATACCGAATACTATTCGTTTGGCTTTGTTTTGCATGAAAATTGTCAATAAAAGTAATTTTTTTTTTTTTTTACCATTGTGTTTAGAATTTTTTTCAATTGCCAAAAAAAAAAAAGTTGGAAAAAGTTTTAGGTGTAGGTGTAATTTCCTCTAATTATAATTCAAATAGTGGGTTGGGTCAGCTCAGGAATTGGCGGAGCCCATGAACATTCATGCAGTACTTTCCTCTACCTAAAGTTCAGGTAAAATGATAAAAATAGCACTAAACGGAGCTTCAAATGGGATTGGAACTATCTTTGATTTAGGCTCGTTTTGTTCCCTTGTTGCTCTCTCTACATTTTGTACCCTTATGCAAACATATTATCAAAATGGACCTAGAGGAAAACTCTTTTTCATCTTTGACCTTCAAGTTTCCTCTTCTATTCAATCAATGACGGGAATAATATTTCTATTTTAATTCCAAAAATACCCGCAAATTAGAGTGAGTATAGAGCCTAAATGGCTTGAGAAATGCCCCCGCTAACTTAGCCAATTAAAAGGACAAAATTGATTTAGGCATTGTTTGGTATTAATTAAAATCCAAATTTTTATTTAATGCAAAGTCAACAATTAATTTTAATCATATAATTTATGGGTCCCACAACTTTTCAACCACACATTTTATCAACTTCTATCCAAATCTACTAAAAATCTGATTTTAATCACACAATCGCTTATTTTCAAGGTCTAAAAATTTTGATTTAAGCACCGAAGCTTGTGCAGTGCTCAACTTCCCGACTCATACACCTTGCAAACCCAACCGAGTGCATGTTTGACAAACATTAATTATTTATAGTTTGATGCAGGATTATTTTCAACCACACGATCACATAA